TAAGCAGTTTTTTAATTAGAAATATACTTAATTTATTAAATATTTAAATATAATAATTTATTAAATTCTATTATTATTATTTTCTATTTTTAGTAATTTATTTACTCCAGTTTTTTCTAATATTTTATCTTATTAAAACTGCGGGGGTGTATTAATAATATAGACAGATTTATTAGTTTATTATCTAAGATTTGCTAGTTTGCTGTCTAAGATTTATTAGTTTGCGGCCTCAGGCCAGTTAGCTGTCTTAGATTATTAGTTAATAGACTAATAATTCTGAGTTCTGCCTATCCCACAGCAGAGCAAGAGATCTTATTTTTATTAATTATTCTAGCTCTTATTCAATCACTGGTTTTATTATTCTTGATTCTGTTTTATTTATATAATTTTTATATAATTTTTATATAATTTTATATATTTTTATATACTTTTAATAGCTAATTAATTATAAATATAAATAAAAAGATCTCTTAATTTTTAATCAGTTTTTTTAATAAGTTTTAATTAAGTTAAATCAGCTTTTAGTCTCTCTCTTATTTATTTAATCTTTGATTTTTTTATTACTTCTTTTATCTTTCTCTTATCTTTCTTTTATCTTTACTTCACTTTTATCTTACTTTCACACCTAATTTATATAAGAAAGTGAGAGTTCAGTGAAGTCTTTCTAAGAGATTAGAGAAAAGTTCTTATTTCTTAAGAAAAGTTCTTAGTTATAAGCCTGATTATATTCTTATATTAATTCTTTATTAATATCTCTAAGACTCTTTATATTCTTTTATTCTTCTTATTTTTACTTTATCTCTGACTTAAAATTTATATAAAAAATTATAGAACTTTTAAGTAAAAAGTAAGATCTATCTAAATTCTTAAATTCTTTTGATTATTTCTTTATTATATCTTAAAATCAGTAATTTAAGAAAGTTTCTATTATTCTTAATAATTAATCTGATTAATTTCTTTGAATTAATCAAATTTAATTATTTATTATTAATAAGAATATCTGGGAATATATAAATCTAGATTTATCTAAGAAATCTAATTATTTTATTAAGCCAGTTGCTATATCTATTTCAGATTTTAATTATTATATTATTTTAATAATAGATCTCAGTAAATCAGATTATCTTTTATATTAAAAAATTATAAATTAATTTAATTATTAATTTAAGAAATAGAAGAAAATTATCTCTGGACTAGTCTCTTTGAATTTATTAATAAATTTTATATTAAGTAAGTAAAATTAATATATTATATTTAATTTAGAAAGATCCTATTAAATTTTACAAGCTCTAAAAAAAAGAATTACTCTTATTAATTAATTCTATATAAAAGAAGTTATTAATAAATATTATAAACTATAATTCTCAGAAACAAAGAGTTCTATTAAGAATTATATAATTTAATAAAAGCTTATTTATTCAGAAGCAGTAAAGCTGAAATTAAGTAAGATTATTAATTATATTTAAATAATCTATAACTTTCTTAAATCAGTTCAGAAAATAATAAGTAATTTTATAATAATTTAGTAATTAAAATTAATTAATAATAAGAATAATCAGAAAGAACTATCTAAGTTTTTTAAAATAATATAAAAAATATATAATTAAATTTGTCTAAATTCTTAAATTAAATAATCTATTAAGTTAGTTAATAATAACAGTGGCAGAATTAGTTATATCTTTTTTTAAGATTTTTCAGATAATTTTAAATTAACTGTTTTAATAACTATTTTAATAACTAAGTTAAAATAAACTTCTTAAAATAATAAAATATTAATAAAAAAATAAAGATTTAAGAATTAGTTCTATCTATATAAATTAGATAAGAATAATAGATTTTATAATTTTAATAATTATTTCTATATTAATAAGAAACTAAGAAATTCTAAATAAAAGTCTGAGACTGAAATCTTAAATTATTTTAGAAATATTTTTAGAAATAGTTTTAAACTAAGATATTTCTTTAAATAATACTGTCAGACTTATTAAATATTATCTTTATTTAATAAAAATAATAAAACAATTATTAAGACAGAAAAGATTTTTTTAGTAATAAGTTAATAAATTATTTATTTAAAATAATTATTAATATTTTATTTATTTTAATAAGCTTTTAATACTGCTTTAGATAATTATATCTATAATTTTTTGAATTTTTTTATTAATTATATTTTTATTATAAATAGAAGTAGATTAGTAAGAATAAAAGATATTATTTTAATTATTTAAGACTATAAAATAGTTATTTTTTATTTTATTTACTTAAATAAGAAAGATCTATATTTTAAATTTAAAGAAGTAATTTATATTTCTTAATTTTATATAAATATTCTCTCAGCTGTAAAAGCTGATAAAAAAAGACTATTTTTAAATAAAAAAAATAGATTTCTTAAACAGACAGATAAAATTTTATTATATTAAATTAAAAAAATTAAAGAAATATATTATATTTAATAGAAATAAAAATCTAGTTCTGCTATAATTATTACTACTAAATTAAATTAGTTAATTATTAAGATAAATTAATTAGCTATCTTAGACTTGTCAGTTTATAGTCTTAAGCTAATCAAACTCTTAGAATATTAATATATAATATCTAGAATAGTCAAAGAATAATATAAAAAATTAGAATATTCTGATAAAAAAGCTTTAAATTATTTAAATAATTCAGTTCAGAGAATTAATATTATTAATTTATTAAAATAGACTAGCTTAGATAAGCTAAGTTAAAATAAAAAATATTCTATATATAAAATTAGTTAATCAGAAAGATAAATTTTAAGATAAAAATTTAAGAAAGAAAATCAGATATTTAAATTAATTTATTAGAATTTGATTTATATAATAAATAAAATTAATAAACAGAGATATATTAGTTATTTTTATTATTTTTATTTAAAATTTTATCTAAAATAAGCTCTAACTTTTAAATCAGATATTTTAGAATTAATTATTAATATAATTTAATTAATTATTAATTAGTTTAAAATAATACTTAAGAGATTTTATTTTGATCAGAACTAAAATCTTAGTATTTTTCTAATCTAGATTAATATTAAAAATTTATTGATTAATTATTTATCAGTTTATCAGCCAGAGTAAAATTTATATATAAAAAAATCCAAAGCTCTAATTATTTTTAAAATAAGAAGTTTATTAATTAATTCAGGACTTCTTATATTTTTATAGTCTAAAATAATAGATTCAGCTATTTTTATTCTAAATAGAATATTAAATAAATAACTAAATTAAAAAATATTATATAAAACTATCTGAAAAAGTCTTTTATAATTATTTAAGAAATTAGATATTTTTTATTTAAGAAAGTATAGATTATATATCTATATCTAAATTAGTAATTTATCTAAAGAAGATAAACTAGAATCTAGAGCTCTAATTAATTATCTAATTAATTATTAGATAATTAATATTTAACAGATCTGGATATCTATTCTTAAAAGAATAATTTCAGCTTGTAATATTATTTTTAATAAAAATTTTAATTATAAATAATATACTGAATTAGGAAATTTATTAATAAAATAAAAAATAATTAAATTAATTAATTCTATTTAATTAAAATAATCAGATATCTCTATTTCTGAAGAATCTGAAGAATCTGATATAAATAAAAATCTTTCTAATTTAAAAATATTAAAACAAATATCTGAATCTTTATTAAATAATTAATTAAAATAAGACTAATTAATAATCTCAGACTAGTTAATTACTGAGCCAAGCCAGTTAGTAATCTTAGATAATTAGTTAAATATCTTATAAAATAATAATATAATTATAAAAGATTTATTATCTTTATTATCTGATTTATCTTCTTTATTATCTCAGATTCTTATTAATAATTTAAATATTAATAAGCTGATTAATAAAATTAAATTCTTAAATATTAAATTAATTAGAGATCTAAAACAGATCTGCTCAGAATTATCTAATTTTAATTTTAAAAAAACTAGACTTACTCTTTAAATTATTTAAATAATAATTAATTATATTAATAAAAATAAAATTTTTTATATTAATTTCTTATTACTTCTATCTCTGTCTATTAATTAATAAGAAATAAGAAATTATATATTTTTAAGCCAATTTACTTAGACTGTTAAAACTGAAATTAATTAATTAAAAGTCTTAAATACTTAAAATATATATTTAATTTATAAAACTAATAGAGCTGAAATATTACTATTAAAATAGATATTTTTATATAAATTTAATAAAACTAATTATCTGACTGATTTTAAAGTCTAAATTTATATTAGAGATAATTTACAGATATCTAATTAATTAAAAATATATGTTAGTATTCTTACAGCTAGATTTATATAGATTTTTTTAGCTTTAATTACTATATTTAATCTGGAAATTAATTAACTAAATATAATTATTATCTTTCTTAATAATCTTATTAAAAAGAAAATCTATATGGATTTAATTTCTGGATTAAAAAATAAATAAATAGTTTTTTTATTATAGAAAGCTTTATATAGATTAAGATATTTATTATTTTTTTAATAAAATACTCTAAAACAGAGACTAATAGCCCTAGGGCTTAAGTTTATTTAGAAAAATTAATATATTTTTATTAATAAATTTATAATTTTAATAATTTTTATGAATAATATAATTTATATATTTTATAAATTAAATTATTAAAAATTTAATAAATTTAAGCAAGAATTAATAATATTATTTAAATTCAAAGATCTTGAAGAGATTAATTTATTTCTTAATATTTAAATCTTATATAATTATTTAAATAGAAAGTTGTGGATTTAATAATTAAATTATATTAATAAGATTATTAATAAATTTAATTTAGAATAAAGAAAAAGTTCTAAATCTCTATTTTTAAATAAGAAATTAATAAAGAATCTATTTTATCAGACTACTACTAATTAAATTTATAAATTTCAGCAGAAAATAGAGTCAGTTCTATATTCTATAATTTAAACTAGGCCTGATATTATTAAATTATATTAATTAATTTCAGAATATCTAACTAATTCAAGTCCTAAATATCTCAGAGCTGTGGATTATTTAATCTTTTATTTAGAAGAAATAAAGAACTTAGCTATTAAATTTAGTTCTAGTTTTATTTTATTTTATATAGTCAGTAATATTAGTTTTGCTAATAATTAAGATTATACTAGCTTAATAAGATATATTATTTACTTATTTAATAATTCTATTAATTAATTAAGCAAGAAACAGTATTATATAATTTTTTTAATTATTAAAGCTGAATTATTAGTTCTAACTGCTATAATTAAATAATTTCTTTAATAAAGAAGATTTTTTAAATAAATAGGATTTAATTCTAATTAATACTTTTCTATATTATATAATAATTATTAAACAGTTAAAATTCTTATTAATAAGAATTTTCTATTTTAAACTAGTCTGAAATATATTAATATTATTAATTATTAACTAAGACAAGAAGTTCTGAATAAAATAATTAATATTTAATAAATATTTATTAATAAAATATAAGCAGATAGTCTGACTAAGCAGTTTCTTGATCAGAAATATACTTAATTTATTAAATATTTAAATATAATAATTTATTAAATTCTATTATTATTATTTTTTATTTTTAGTAATTTATTTACTTCAGTTTTTTCTAATATTTTATTTTATTAAAACTACAGAAATATATTAATAATATAAACAGACTGATCAGTTTGCTATCTAAGACTTGCCAGTTTATTATCTAAGACTTATTAATTTATAGTCTCAGATCAGTTGGCTGTCTTAGACTATTAATTAGCAGATTAATAATTCTAAGTTCTATCTATCCCATAGTAAAGCAAGAGATCTTACTTTTATTAATTATTCTAGTTTTTATTTAATTACTGATTCTATTATTCTCGGCCCTGTTTTATTTATATAATTTTTATATAATTTTTATATAATTTTATATATTTTTATATATTTTTGATAGCTAATTGGCTATAAATATAAATAAAAAGATCTCTTAATTTTTAATTAATTTTTTTAATAAGTTTTAATCAAGTTGAATCAGCTTTTAGTCTCTTTTTTATTTATCTAATTTTTAATTCTTTTTATTACTTCTTTTATCTTTCTTTTATCTTTCTTTTATCTTTACTTTACTTTCACCTTACTTTCATATCTAATTTATATAAGAAAGTGAGAGTTCAGTGAAGTCTTTCTGAGAGATCAGAGAAAAGTTCTTACTTCTTAAGAAAAGTTCTTATATATATTCTTAGATATTCTTATTAATAATAAATAATTAAATTTGATTAATCCAAAGAAATTAATCAGATTAATTATTAAAAACAATAGAAACTTTCTTAAATTACTGATTTTAAGATATAATAAAGAAATAGTCAAAAGAGTTTAAGAATTTAGATAAATCTTATTTTTTACTTAAAAGTTCTATAATTTCCTATATAAATTTTAAGTCAGAGATAAAGTAAAAATAAGAAGAATAAAAGAATATAAAAAATCTTAGAGATATTAATAAAAAATTAATATAAGAATATAACCAGGCTTATAACTAAGAACTTTTTTTAAGAAGATTTTATTAAACTTTCACTTTCTTATATAAATTTAATATAAAAATGAGATAAAAATAAGAGAAAGATAAGAGAAGTAAAAAAATAAAAAAAATTAAAGATTAGATAATTAAGTAAGAATTTTTTTCTAATTTTTTAAAAAGACTTTACTGAACTCTTATTTTCTTATATAAATTAGATATAAAAATAAGATAAAAGTAAGATAAAAATAAAAGAAAGATAAGAGAAAGATAAAAGAAGTAATAAAAAAAATTAAAGATTAATAAGAGACTAAAAGCTGATTCAACTTAATTAAAATTTATTAAAAAAACTAATTAAAAACTAAGAGATTTTTTTATTTATATTTATAGCCAATTGGCTATTAAAAATATATAAAAATATATAAAAATATATAAAAATTATATAAAAATTATATAAATAGAACAGGACCAAGAATAATAAAACTAGTAATTAAATAAAGACTAGAATAATTAATAAAAATAAGATCTCTTATTTTACTATAAAATAGACAGAACTTAGAATTAGTCTACTAACTAATAATCTAAAACAGCTAACTAGCTTGACTCTGCAGCTAACTAGTCTGAGATTATCAACTAATAAGCCTTAGGCAGCAAACTGGCGAGGCCGCGAGCCTTAGGCAGCGAACTGGCCAGTCTGCCTATATTATTGATATTTATTAAATAAAAAACTATATTTATATAATTATAATTATTCTAAATCTAATATTAAAGCTTAAAAAATTTAAAAAAAATATATAACTAAATAATAATATTAATTAATATTATAAATATTAAATTATTTTTAAAAAAATATTCTTTTTTTATTTTAATTAAAATTTAATAATTAATATATTATTAATAATCTCTAGATTATTATTAGATCTAAATAAGATTTTTTATAATATTTTTAAATATTAGAGATTCTTATCTGTAGTTAAGATATATAAAAAATTTAAGATATATCTAAATATTAAAAATATATAGCTTCTTAAAATATTTTTAATTAAATTAATATAATTCTAGATATTATAGAATATATTAATATTTTTATTTATTAAAAATTATATTATAATTAGTTTTCTATTCTTTATTAAATAATTAAAGATTTTCTCTTAATTATAATTAATAATATTAATATTAAATATTTTTTTAATAATTTTTAAGATATTTATTATTATTATCAGAATTATTTTAATTCTGATATAATTAAAATAGTTATATTTTAAATATATATTAATTATTTTATTATAAATAAAAAATATTAGAATATATTTAATAATCTTAATCTAGATTTAATTATTTTTATATTTAAAAAGTAAAAAAAAAAAAAATAATTATTATTTTTTATATTAATAAGAATAAAAATATAAATAATTTTAAAAATAATTTAGAAAATAAATTATTATTAAAATTAAAAAAATTAATTTTATTTAAATCTTTAATTATTATATATATTTAAATAAAAATAAAGATCCGGTCTTTATAATTTTTATATTATTATAATTATTATTTTAAATAGTATAAAAATTAAATATTTTATATTTTTTTTTATTTTTTTTATACTAGATTTTATAAAAATCTTTTTTAAAATATAATATATTTTTTAAAATAATTAATTAAATAGATTAAGTAGTAGACTATATTTAAAAAATATTATTATATTTATATTATAATTAAATATATATTATATTTTATATATTATTTATATAAAAAAAATATATATATTATAAATTAATTTATAATTATTAATTTATCTACTATATCTAATCTTTCTAATTAATAAATATAAATAATTATAATAATAATTATATCTTAATCTAATCTTAATTATATAATTAAAAATTTTTTATATCTTAATCTAATTGCTAGATTATGGCCAGATTAAGATTAAGATATAACAGTCAGGTTAAGCCACTCTATCTTAATCTAATTATCAGATTATGGCCAGGTTAAGATTAAGGTATAACGATCAGGTTAAGCCACTCTAGTTAAACTGGATTAAGAAAATATTAGATTAATAATTATTTAAGATAACTAATCTTAAATATAAGAAAAAAAATAAAAGTAAATAATATTATACAATTATTCAAAAATAAATTAATAATTATATTAAATATAAAGAATAGTGTTAGGGGCAGTGTTATAACTATAAGATTCTTATTTCTTGTACAAACCCTTCAAATCCCAAATACTTGACAATACCAGCGCGATATATTTAAAAAATTAATAATTACTGACTAATTTAGTAATTAATATCTTATCTTAATAAATAATAATACAGTAATTAAAAATATATTATTTCTGATATATTATATCTATAAAGAGTATATATAAATTATTAATTAATCTGTGATTATTAATCTTTTGATTATATTTAATTTTTCTAATCTGTGATTAATGTTATGGGGTTCTACTGTTCTTGTATGAACCCTCCAAATCCCAAATGCTCGGCAACGCCTGCGCGACATACCAAACAAAGCAAGAGATAGCGCCGTACAAGAAGAGATAAAAGAACACAACTTGAATACTCTTGTTTTCTTTTCTCTCTTTCTTCTTCATCAACTCCTTCTGTATCAACAGTCAATCATTGGATTAGTATAATTCAATCATTCCCCTAACAATTAAAATTAATTAAAGCAATCTTTGAATCTTAATCTACTCTTAACTGTACAGTTAAGAGGATTCTTATATCTTAACCTAACTGTCAGGTTACAGTTAAGATTAGGTTAAGGTATAATAATTAGGTATAACCACTCTACCTAGTGGTAACCAATTGCATTATATTATTAATTAACTAGTTAATTCTAACTACTGTCTCACTGACCTGCAGCAACGTGGGCGGTTGGGCTCAGTGTATAACAGGAATCCTGGATCCCAGCCCGACAGATTATCATTAAAAAAACTGTTAAGAAGAGACCTGACGAATTAATGCTTCTTCACCCACTGCGTCTGTTTTTCGAATGCGTCTCTCTCCTTGCCCACCATAGCTTTCAGGCCAATATCTCGTAGCTCCGTAAAAAGAGAAATGGCATCGTCATATAAATGATGCGGTGTCCAACCATCTCTCGATACTATATGCGCAACAGAGTCCCAAAACTCCTGAACATCATTCCACCCGTCACTTTCTTCTGCATGAATATGGAGGTCATCCTTTGTAAAATGGATAGGGCATGGAAAATTGAATCCCAACTCATTCCAGCTTCTGAAGTATTATTAGTAATATGGTATACAAGATAGCCTGAGAAGTGCTTACCTCTCGAGCCTTATCAATGATTCTCGCAAGGGAATGATATCATCATCCCATGTGTCACCCACAAACAGGATTGGTTCGCACCGTATCCTGCCGTGATCAAATCGAAGGACTTTATCAAGGAGGATATGTCTTTAGCAATTTGCTTTTCATAGAGGTAGAGTAGTATCGAGCTACTCATAATGCCTCTAATTCGAGTCTTTTCTGCTGGTTCAAGATCTTTAAAATTTGCTGGGGCTTTCAAAATAACTTCCCCATCATAATCAACTAGTCTTGCATGGCGTGCTTGAAGTATCAACGGTGCTGCCCACAGACCCTGCCAGTCTATAACACTGGAAATTTTTCCCTTTTGGACAAAGATGTTTCCAGCATGTAGATCTGTATGCCAAATGTATGGTGCAACTACTGCAGGAGCGTCTGGGAGAAGATAAGGTGCCACTTTAAGATACTTGTGCAGTAAATCAACATGGCTGAGGTCACTAGCGCGTCGTCCTTGGGTCTTGGTGTTGCATATTTCTGGATCCATGCCTCTTCTCGATGGGCCAGAGAGAGAACATAATCCTGCGGTTGTTTCCCTTCAATGGGTCAGTCAAGACAACAAGCAGATGGGTAGATAACAAACACGGTCCACGATCCAAAGCCATCTCTGCACGCTCTTTTAACCAGTAGTGTCTTTCTGCGACTGGGTCAATGACAAATCGGCGATTAATCTTGTCCTTGAGCTCCGAAGATACATCCGCACATATGTCTACTGGCGTGGCACCTTTGATATTAGTACTCGCAAAGTATAAACTTCCATAGCTAGTCATCATTAGCAATATCACAGATCAAGCTGGCTTCGAAGATGTTACTTATTGAGTGGCACTTGGAGCATCTTTTTCTCTAGTTGGACAAGATCCTTCATGATCTCTATCTTCTCTTCAAGGGAGATAACTTCCCAAATATCGTCCAGCTTGGTACCGGAGGCTTCTTCCATTATGATATACTCGGAACCGACAGGATTATTCACATTAGCATTCCAAGCATATACTTGGGGTGTTGGTATTCCGAGGATTGTACGGGCCTGGATTGCCTGTCAGTGGTATTATACATGATACATCAATTTCAATCCTTACGAATTCCATCGTTGCAACTTCAGACGCCGTAGTGTAGTATTTAGGCCCAGCAATAGGATGAGGTATTCTTGCAATCACAGATAATCCATTATCCATTTGAAGTCTGAAAGTTTTGTTGAATGATCCTTCGGCCAATTTTGTAATTGCGGTACATGTATCTGCTCCAACACTTTGCGCTGCAATTTTCTGCAACTCAGGCACATTGAAAGGCGAGAATCGCTCTCGAAGTTGCTGCTCCTCGTCCCATAGCCAACGACCACTGGTGTATTGGAAGAGATCCGTGTCGCGGTGTGGCATGCTTGTAGAGCTCATGATACGGAGATGTCGGCGATACCCGTTGGAAAGACAGGGAAAGGGGTTGAAAAGTACTTTGAAAGAAGAGCTTAGTGTAGGCGGACGATAGATTTGTTGGAGATGAATATAGGATTTAGAGTGTGCTGTCCATCTGGTTGACAGCTTCATATTGTCTCAAAGGTCCAACTCAAGCGTCGCGCGAGAAGGTCGCCCACACATTGATTGGAAGTTGAAATTGCCCTGATATGGAATAGAAGTGGGGTTAGAATTACTACATTTGGGAGAGGGTTACGTTCAGACATCACAGCACCGGGTGTTAACCGATACTATATGATATCGCTGACCCGACCCAATATCAAAATCACAACCCGATAGCACTGGCACTAGTACCACCATCGTGCGCAGTTCGAAATACTTATAATGGATATCAAATCCCAAATACTTGGCAATGCCTGCGCGATATATCAAAACAATAATAAAGCAAGGGATAGCGCTGTATAAAAAGAGATAAAAGGATATAACTTAAAATACTCTTGTAACTTGTTTTCTTCTTTCTTTTTCTTCTTTATTAATTTCTTCTGTATCAACAGTCAACTATTGGATTAGTATAATTCAATTATTTCTCTAACAAAGTTACATTTTTTTATCTTTTTTTATATAATAGTAAGAACTTTTCTTAAGAAGACTTTATTGAACTTTTACTTTCTTATACAAATTTGGTGCAAAAGTAAGATGAAAGTGAGAGAAAGATAAGAAAAGTAAAAAAATAAGAAGAATCAGAGATTAGATAACTAAGTAAAAACTTTTCTTTAATTTCTTAGAAAGATTTTACTGAACTCTTACTTTCTTATATAAATTAAATATAAAAGTAAGATAAAAGTAAGATAAAGATAAAAGAAAGATAAGAGAAAGATAAAAAAAATAATTAAAGATTAAAAAGAGATTAAAAGCTAATTTAATTTAATTAAAATTTATTAAAAAACTAATTAAAAACTAAGAAATCTTTTTATTTATATTTATAATTAATTGGCTATCAAAAGTATATAAAAATATATAAAAATTATATAAAAATTATATAAAAATTATATAAATAGAACAGGGCTGAGAATAATAGAATTAATAATTAAATAAAGACTAGAATAATTAATAAAAATAAGATCTCTTACTCTACTGTAGAATAAATAGAACTTAGAATTAGTCTATTAATTAATAATTTAAGATAGTTAACTAACTTAGCTCTGTAATTAATTAATTTAAGATTATTAATTAATAAGTCTTAGATAGTAAACTAGCAAGTCTTAGATAACAAACTAGTTAGTCTATTTATATTATTAATATATTTTTATAGTTTTAATAAGATAAAATATCAGAAAAAACTGAAGTAAATAAATTATTAAAATAAAAAATAATAATAATAGAATTTAATAAATTATTATATTTAATTATTTAATAAATTAAGTATATTTTTAATTAAGAAACTGCTTAGTCAGATTATCTGCTTATATTTTATTAATAAATATTTATTAAATATTAATTATTTTATTCAGAGCTTCTTGTCTTAGTTAATAATTAATAATATTAATATATTTTAGACTAGTTTAAAATAGAAAATTTTTATTAATAAGAATTTTAACTGTTTAATAATTATTATATAATATAAAAAAGTATTGATTAGGATTAAATCCTATTTATTTAAAAAATCTTTTTTATTAAAGAAGTTACTTGACTGTAGTAATTAAGACTAATAATTTAGTTTTAATAATTAAAAGAGTTATATAATATTATTTTTTACTTAGCTAATTAATAGAGCTATTAAATAAATAAATAATATATTTTATTAAGCTAGTATAATTTTAATTATTAGTAAAACTAGTATTACTGATTATATAAAATAAAATAGAACTAAAACTAAATTTAATAATTAAATTCTTTATTTTTTTTAAATAGAAGATTAAATAATTCACAGTTCTAAGATATTTAGGACTTAAATTAATTAAATATTCTAAAATTAATTAGTATAATTTAATAATATTAAATCTAGTCTAAACTATAGAATATAAAACTAATTCTACTTTTTATTAAAATTTATAAATTTAATTAATAATAGTCTGATAAAATAGATTCTTTACTAATTTCTTACTTAGAAGTAGAGATTTAGAGCTTTTTCTTTACTTTAAATTAAATTTATTAATAATCTTATTAATATAGTTTAATTATTAAATTTATAATTTTCTATTTGGGCGATTATATAAGATTTAAATATTAAGAAATAAATTAATCTCTTTAAGATCTTTGAATTTAAATAATATTATTAATTTTTATTTAAATTTATTAAATTTTTAATAATTTAATTTATAAAACACACAAATTATATTATTTACAAAAATTATTAAAATTATAAATTTATTAATAAAAGTATATTAATTTTTTTAAATAAATTTAAATTTTAGAGCTATTAGTCTCTGTTTTAAAGTATTTTATTAAAAAAATAATAAATATCTTAATTTATATAGAACTTTTTATAATAAAAAAACTGTTTATTTATTTTCTAATTCAGAAATTAAATTTATATAGATTTTCTTTTTAATAAAATTATTAAGAAAAATAATAATTATATTTAGTTAGTTAATTTCTAGATTAAATATAGTAATTAGAGTTAAAAAAATCTGTATAAATCTGGCTGTAAGAATACTAGCGTGTGTTTTTAATTAATTAAATATTTATAAATTATCTTTAATATAAATTCGGGCTTTAAAATTAGTTAGATAATTAGTTTTATTAAATTTATATAAAAATACTTATTTTAATAATAATACTTCAGCTTTATTAGTTTTAAAAATTAAATATATATTCTAAGTATTTAGAGCTTTTAATTAATTAATTTCAGTTTTAACAATCTAAGTAAATTAGCTTAAAAATATATAATTTTTTATTTTTTATTAGTTAGTAGACAGAGATAAAAGTAATAAGAAATTAATATAAAGAATTTTATTCTTATTAATATAATTAATTATTATTTAAATAATTTAAAGAATAAGTCTAGCTTTTTTAGAATTAGAATTAGATAATTTTGAGCAGATCTGTTTTAGATCTCTGATTAATTTAATATTTAAGAATTTAGTTTTATTAATTAGTTTATTAATATTTAAATTATTAATAAGAATCTGAGGCGGTGAAAAAAATAGATTAAATAATAAAAATAATAAATTTCTTATAATTATATTATTATTTTATAAGATATTTAACTAATTATCTAAGACTGTTAACTAACTTGACTCAGTAGTTAACTAGTCTAAGATTATTAACTAATCTTATTTTAATTAATTATTTAATAAAGATTTAGATATTTATTTTAATATTTCTAAATTAGAAAGATTTTTATCTATATCAGATTCTTTAGATTCTTCAGAAATAGAGATATTTAATTATTTTAATTAAATAAAATTAACTAATTTAGTTATTTCTTGCTTTATTAATAGATTTCTGAATTCAGTATATTATTTATAATTAAAATTTTTATTAAAAATAATATCACAAGTTAAAATTATTTTTTTAAAAATAGATATCTAGATCTGCTAAATATTAATTATTTAATAATTAATTAGATAATTAATTAGAATTCTAGACTCTAATTTATCTTTTTTAAATAAATTATTAATTCAGATATAAATATATAATCTATATTTTCTTAAACAGAAAATATCTGATTTTCTAGATAATTATAAAAGACCTTTTTAGATAATTTTATATAATATTTTTTAATTTAGTTATTTATTTAATATTCTGTTTAGAATAAAAATAGCTGAATCTATTATTTTAGACTATAAAAATATAAAAAATTCTGAATTAATTAATAAATTTCTTATTTTAGAAATAATTAAGACTCTGGATCTTTCTATATATAAATTTTATTTTAATTAATAAATTAATAAATAACTAATTAGTAGATCTTTGATACTAGCCTAGATTAAAAAAATATTAAGATTTTAATTCTAATTAGAATAAAATCTTTTAAATATTATTTCAAACTAATTAATAATTAATTAAATTATATTAATAATTAATTCTGAAATATCTAATTTAAAAGTTAGGACTTATTCTAAATAAAATTTTAAATAAGAATAATAAAGATAACTAATATATCTCTGTTTATTAATTTTATTTATTATATAAATTAAGTCTTAATAAATTAATTTAAATATCTGACTTTTTTTTAAATTTTTATCTTAAAATTTATCTTTCTGATTAATTAATTTTATATATAGAATATTTTTTAAATATTTAACTTAGTTTATCTGAGCTAGTCTGTTTTAATAAATTAATAATATTAATTCTCTAAACTAAATTATTTAAATAATTTAGAACTTTCTTTTTAAAATACTCTAATCTTTTATATTATTCTTTGATTATTTCAGATATTATATATTAGTATTCTAAGAGTTTAATTAGCTTAAGACTGCAAACTGACAAGTCTAAGATAGTTAACTAACTTATTTTAATAATTAATTAATTTAATTTAGTAGTAATAACTATAGCAGAACTAGATTTTTATTTTTATTAAATATAATATATTTTTTTAATTTTTTTAATTTAATATAGTAAAGTTTTATCTGTCTGTTTAAGAAATCTATCTTTTTTATTTAAAAATAATCTCTTTTTATTAATTTTTATAGCTAAGAGAATATTTATATAAAATTAAAAAATATAGATTACTTCTTTAAGTTTAAAATATAAATTTTTTTATTTAAATAAGTAAAGTAAAAAATAACTATTTTATAATCTTAAATAATTAAAATAGTATCTTCTATTCTTACTAATCTATTTTTATTTATAATAAAAATATAATTAATAAAGAAATTTAAGAAATTATAGATATAATTATCTGAAGTAGTATTAAAAATTTATTAAAATAAATAAAATATTAATAATTATTTTAAATAAATAATTTATTAACTTATTACTAAGAAGATCTTTTTTATTTTATTAGTTGCTTTATTATTTTT